CCCACGATTTTGAAAAACTGCGTTCGCCCACAAACGCAGCTTCTGATTGGCGCGGTGCGGGTAGTGTTGATTACTTAACATTCGAAACGTCAATCAAACCAGGTATGCTTTGTTTTTGTGCGTCACAGATCTGGTCTCATCTGATTTGTGGTCGCAGATTACAAATGCTTTGGACTGATATTTATTGGAATCGTGTTTGTGCGAAGGTTTACGAGATCAGAGTCTTCAAAGTATAACTGGAGATCGAGCAGTGGAGACTAGGGAAGGCCAATTTATTGAGAATGATGGCGTGCGGATCTGACTGGAAAAAATGGACTGTTTGTTGGAGGTAACATCAACATAAATCAGAACATCGGTACTCGACACTAGCTAAAGCCGCCATGGACAAGCGATTTGTCAGCTTTTTGAAATGAAAAGATTCTTTTTGTTTATTGGAAATTTAGCGGCACCTATTGTAGAGAACGTTTCGACACAGGCTGAAGAGCAGCCGCTCTGCAAAACTTATACCCGGCGGAGTGAATTGTTCGGGACAAATCATTTTTGACATGTCGACAAGGTTTCAGACGAGATAGAGCCACACAATAAAAAACAAGAAATTCCTCAGCATTCGCTCATAGTTTTAACCTTCTTTTGTCGTAAATCTTTTTTATTACAGTTCTTGCAATCGCCTGCAACGTGTTCTATTAGAGAACAAAGTAATTTTACAAATCTGGTAATCCAGGGGTAATCTGTTCGTTATGTTTCTATTTTAACGAGCTGTCAATTTACAAATGAACCGAACCGTGAAATATCAAGGGGCGTTTTCCAGAATCGTGGGGTTTGAGGGCAAGCGTTTCCTCTTCTCCCTCCCCCTCCCCCTTCAACCTTTTTTTGCTTCCACTCTAACTTTCACGCAATAACTCGATTGGAAACGCTTGCTACGCAGGCTAAAGAAAATAGCACACTCTGATTGGCCAATTACATATTTACATTTTGCCCATGGCTGATTGCTAACAAGCTAGTGCATGCTCAATTCCCATGAGACTACACTTTTACATCTTGTTTTTGCCTCATAGTTTGCAACGAATTTTATTATCGTGCTGAGAGAAAAGATACAGAAGGCAAGCGAGGGCCTAGCAAGAGGTTTTTGAAGGTGTATCCATAGAAAAACGGTTAGACCTCTGAACATACTGCAAACTACAAGGGTCCTGGGTCATGCTCTTCCACAAAATTCAGGGGCTCAGAAATGCTACGTCCCACGCTTTCCACAGGTCTTTTTTATTAAATAATATGAACGAAAATGCAATGGTTAAACAATGCTATCCATAAAAAGATGACACCATCAAGAAGGAAGTTACAGGCAAAGGGTGAGACATCTACCCTTCAGACAGGCAAATATAATATAATGCAAACGATTTATCAATCATCCCAATTGAATGATAAAAATGCGTTCAGGGAATTAAAAAATGTATTTTTCTCCAGATTTCAGCTGTACGCAAAGGCGTATGTGCATGACGCTTATACCTCTGGCGCTTCTGAGAAGTTTTTGAAGGTAATGAACATAAAAAAACAGTGTTGAACTCCACATTGAGATGGAAATATACTTATCTAGCAAAAAGATTTTCTTGAAAAAGAAGAGTTTGCAAACTATGATTTGTACAGTCGCATCATTCCCCTAAAAACTGTTGGCAAAAGTTTTTCTCTTGGTTTATAAAATGTTATAAGACAGATGGTAAATGGCTCAGCATCCACTAATGAGTTATGTTTACACTCAGGAGGACTATTGCTTAGCACTCAAGAAGCTATAGAGTTGTATGCAATCAGCTATCACCTTTGAGTGACTCTTGTATTTCATTTGTGCTTTGCAGCCATAACTCAAAAATACACTGAGCCATTACTCATTTGTTTAACAGAAAAATCACAAGTGTAATGTCCACTCCATTCCGGATTTTCAACTTACTCATGATCATGCCATCACTTAAAGTTTTCTTTTTTTCTATTAAAGCAGCATTGACACAGTGTCTGGGAGCATTCTATTGTTTGCAATTTGAAGATATATAGTATTGTTGAGGTGATTTGAAGTGGGCCAAGTGCACCGTAGCCACCTCTTTTTCTGTGAAATTTTGCATTATTATGAAAGAATTTTTCTGCAAAATTTTAATAGTTTGATCTATATAATGACAACTGTCCTAGCCACCCCTTTCTGAAATTTGTGGATCTGCCTCTGATAAAGCCTCTACAAACCATCCATAAATTTCCCAGGCTTAAGTACTTTATGCTCATATTATATATTTATTAAACTCATGATATTTACCTATGAACAATCATCTGAACTTTACTGATTCCTCGCAATGAATAACTGGATTATGGAAACTATAATTTTGATAGGGAACACTAATTTTGTCACTTAAAACTGTTTTTTTAAGCTCTTCTAACTTCAGGAATCTTAAGACCCAGGGCCTGGTTCCTGGAACACTGATTAGCGCTTAATCTAGGATTTAAGTTTTGTTCCGTTTTTGTTTTTTACCTTCCTATGCATTTCTTAGAGTCACATTTTGTGATATCATTACTGTATCTCAGATTAAAGGCTCAATAATATTTTGTAAGCTAGAGCTGCATGTTTTTTTGTAGACAAGAAAACCTTGCTTAGAGAGGAGGAAGCCACTTGGAGTGGACAGCTTCCCTGTGCATTTTTTCAGTCCCTGCCCTCTGGAATTCCTCTCCTACAGTCCATCATAATATATACTATAACATTAAATACGCAGACAGCTTGATTTTTTTACCTGCAGGGTGTATTCTAGTCA